GAGGGGGGCTAGGGAAAGGCCTCCAGCAGAAGGTGCAATTTGATCTGAGTACTGAAGGAAGCTTCCAGACTGATCATGGTGATGGCCATTGGTAATTACTATCATCTAGGCCTACACTGGGATAGCAGCTGTGAGGGGGAGATATTGGGAAAGGAGAAACCACAAAACTTGGGGACCCAGTGGCTCTGTGAAGTGGGTGTGAAGAGGAGATCAGAGTAACTTGGAGGATAACAGTGCCCTGGACAGTAAGTAACATGAAAGTTTGGAAAGGGTGGGGGGTGGGGAGGAAATGATGACTTCTGTTTTCAACATATTGAGCTTGGGATGGTCCTGGGACGTCCAGTTGGAAATGTCCAAGAGGTACTAAGTAACTCAAGACTGAAGCTTGGGGAGAGACATTAGGGCTGGATAAACAGATATGAGAATTATCAGCAGGGAGATTATAATGAACGCAGAGGAGCTGATGAAATTGTCAAACAAGGTAGAATAGATGGAGAAGCAAAAGGGGCCAAGGATGGAGCCTTGGGGGATACCCACAGTTGGTGTGTGTCCCCTAGATAAGCAGAAGAGACCAAGGAGGAGAACCTGGAGAGAGCAGGGTCATGAAAACCCAGAGGAAAGAGCCTCGAGGAAAAAGGGTGATCGACAATGCTAAAAGTTGCAGAGGGGATTAAGAAAAGGTCATTCGATTTAGCAGTGAAGAGAACATGGGGAATGTTGAAGAGGGCAGCTTCGGTTGAATGATGAGGTCAGAAGTCAGAGTGCTGAGGGTTGAGGAGAGTGAGAGGGGGAAGTGGGGACATGGATTGAGGATGGCTTTCTCACTAGCTCAGAGCAGGAGTCGAGGTATAGGATGACAGCTGGGGGATGGTTGGATCAAGTAGGGGGGGTTTTGGTTTGTTTTTTTAAAGGTTGGAGGAGACATGGGTGTGTTTGTAAGCAGCAGGGAAGAAGCCAGTAGATAGGAAGAGGCTGAAGATTAGAGAGTTGGGATGATAGAGGGGGCTGGAGAAGACAGGATGGATGAATGGAAGGGGGTTTGCTCTGGCTAGGTGAAAGGCCACTTCTTCTTGAAAGAAGGAGATAGTGGGGGAAGATGCCTGAATGATGGGAGATGAGGAGAAGGGAAGAAGAGAGAGCTCTCAGAAAATGGCCTCCATGATTTTTTCTGATGTGAGACATGTCTCAGCTTGAGCAGACACTTGTCTGAAACTCAGTTGAGTCAATAAAAACAAGAGATGCTCTTTTTATAGGACGTTATGTGTCCCAGGCATTGCCCACAACAGCCCCAGCTGGTACTGAGTACTTGTATTATATTTTGCCTGTTTTACCCAGAAGGAAACTGAGGCTTAACAGGGGGCAAACCTGATAAATCTCATGCGGTTAGCTGGCAAAGGGAAGAGCTCACATTTCTTTAGCTCTGTTCAGTCATTTTAGTCACATCTGATTCTCCGTGACCCCATTTGGGGTTTTCCTGGTAAAGATACTAGAGTGGTTTGCCATTTCCTTTTCCAGCTCATTTGACAGATGAGGAAACTGAGGCAAACAGGGTGAAGTGACTTGCCCAGGGTCACACAGCTAGGAAGTGTCTGAGGCTGGATTTGAACTCAGGTCCCCCAGATTCCAGGCCTGGCGCTCTATCCACTGCCCTCTGTAGTTCTGTAAGGGCTTTCCTCTCAGCAGCTCAGGTACCATCTCCTACATGAAGCCTTTCCTGATAGCCCCTGCTGCGAGTGCCCTCCCTCCCTTCCACCTTCCTCTATATTTTAACAACTTTGTTTTTTTTTTTAAATTAATTTGCTTTTTATTTAGGCTATGTATACTTATCGTCTTCCCTCATTAGAATGTAAGCTCCTTGAGGGCAGACATTGCTTTGTTCTTTGTACTTGTATCCTCAGCACCTAATACAGCATCTGTGGCACATAGTAGGCACTTAATAAATGTTTATTGATTGATTAAACAACCCAATAAAGTAGGTGATACAAAAATTATCATTCCCATTTTCCACATGAGAAAACTGAGACTTGGAGAAGTGAGGTGGGGTGCCTAGTGGTAGAGCTGGGCTTCTGATTTCATGTCTAGGGCTCTTATTGCCCCACACTCTCTGTGATGACAAGGTCTCCTTCAGATTTTCCTTTGGGATTAGGGGGTTAAATTCTTTTTCAGGGGGGAGGGGCTTCCAGCTTAAGGAAGGAAGAAAGAGTCAGAGCAGAGGTGGGCATAGTCAGAGAAGCCAGGACCAATCAGGAAAGGGTGACTGAGCTAGCAGCAAAATTCCCCTGAAAGGGGAAATGTTGGAAATCTGAGGGTTGTGGCTTAGCAAGAAAGTATACCTCTCCCTGAGGAAGAGAGAGGGAAAGAAAAAAAGAAGGAAAGAGAGACAGAAGAAAGTGGGGAAAAGGAAGGGACAGGCTGTATTGGTGTATACAGGGAAAAGAAGTGGAACCCTAGCATTCTAGATTTAGAGCTAAAAGAGATTTTCAGAGGAGAAAACTGAAACTCAGAGAATGATTTGTCCAAGGTCACATATAGGATCATAAGATTGTAGACTAAGGCCTGGAAGGGACCACAGAGGCCATCTAGTGTAACCCTGCATTTTACCAAGCGGGAAACTGAGGCCCAGAGAGGGAAAATGATTTGCCCCAGATACACAAGTAGCAAAGGTGGGATTTGAATCCCGGTCCTTGGGCTGCACACATAGAACTCTAGCCATTGCACCTAGAGTTGTGCTGTTTGATTCCAGTATGCCAGCTATTTTCTCACTTCCCCTTCAGTCTTATCGGTCCCAGAGGTCTTTTATGACAGGAGAATGGGGGCCAGTCTGTATTTTCCCAGAAGACTGTGCATTTCTAGTTTGCACCATCAAGATGATTTGCCCCCAGGGCAGTTAGATGGCGCAGTGGATAGAGCTCTAGCCTTGGGGTCAGGAGGACCTGAGTTCAAATCTGACCTCAGACACTTGACACTTACTAGCTGTGTGACCCTGGGCAAGTCACTTAACCCCAATTGCCTCACCAAAAAAAAAAAAAAGCTGATTTGTCCCAGACCTGATGGATTTCAATGAAGACAAAGTTTAGGTCCGTCACTTGCACTCAGTTCTTCTACCCGTTGGCTGCAGCCCTCATCCAGGCCAGCTATCCTACTAGCTTGACCCCATTCTGGAGATCCCCTCTCCTTCTTCCATCTGTTCCTTATCATTAAGTTACGTGCCCCCTTCTCCCTGCTCCCTGAGGGCAGTGCAATGGAATGGCTAAAGTACCTGGGCAAGACCTGGGTTTGAATCCCATCTCTGACACTTACTACCTCTGTTAACTTTGAGCAAATCATTTCCCTTCCCTGGGCCTTAGTTTCTTCTTCTGTAAAATGAGAGGGGGGTGGACTAGATGGCATCCGAGACTTCTTTAGATCCCTGATCCTATTTGTAACTTTAAGCAAGTCATTTTTATTCTCTGGGCCTCAGTTTCTTTCTCTGTAAAATGAGTGGGTTAGATTAGATCTCCTCTGAGATGTCTTCCAATTCCAGTTCTGAGGTCCTCCAGTCACTCATTTTATAGTAGAGGAAACTTAGCCTCCAGAGAGGAAATGATTTGTTCAAAGTCTCATGGCCAGTATATGGGCAAGGTTAAAAGAGCTAGGAAGCCCAGTTTTCCTGATTCCAACATTAGCATTCTTGCCAATATATGGTCTTGTAGTGTAAGTATTATTAGCCCCCTATTCAGATGAAGAAACTGAGACTTGGAGAGGCAACTTAGGCACCTAGGAGGTATTTGGGGCATATTTCTTAAGCAACACTAGCGGCAGTCTTTCTGGAACAGAAACTTTGAGCCTGGCAGCATTAAGACTGTGGTTACGGACACTAAAAAGCCTTTGCCTGCCCATCTTCCTCCCCTCTGAGTTCCTAGGAAGCCAGCCCCAGGGAAGCCCAGACTGGGTGTCCCTGCATGCCGGCAGCCTCTGACCAGGCCAAGTGGTAGCTGCGAAATTGGGGGTTTTCTTTCTGAGATGATGTTGGGGCTGAAGGAACCTCAGATGACTCAGCAGTCAGGCATGAGATGCAACCGCAGTTGGTTAAGGGGGGCGGAGGGTGGATGGGCCCTCTCCTCACGTGGCCAGGCTAGCAGTGGCACCCGACCCACCGAGCTGTTTGGGCTGACGGGGCACCTCTCAAGATGCAATGGGAAACTCGACTTCTGAGGCTAGGCTCCCCCCAGCATCCCCTCCCTCCCGCCAAGGCTCCCCCACCTCTGCAAGAGTTCAGAAGTTCAGATGGAAAGCAGTTGAGGCTTTAGATGTGTCCCCGGGGAGCTGGGGTTTGTTACTCTTGGTTGAAAACCTTCTATTTCAGCGAATTCACTCCGTCCTCCTCCCGCAGGCCAAATGTAGGACGTGGAAAAGCTCGAGTACAGTTTGAACACAGAATCCACAGCTTTCCACCCCAAGGTAGTGTGGTCTGGTGCCCCCGGGGGGCCCAGGCTCAGCTCTGGGCAGCTGCCTGGCTTGGCTCCCACCACTTGGCTCTAGCCACTGACCCTCTTGGGTCCTCAGTTTGCCCAGATCTATAAAATGAGAAGAAGCAATCAATCAACCAGGTCTTTATTTATTATAAGCTAGGTGCCAAGCAATATGCTAAGCACTGGGGAGACAGACAATGGGTGAAACAATTGCTAATCTCAAGGAGCTCACACTCAAATGGGGGAGATAAAAAGCACATATATTAAGTATATACTGCAGAAATAGAAAGAGAATAAACACAGATATACACAAAGTATACTGCAGAGCAGTTAGGGAGGGAGAACACAAGAAGGATCTGGAAAAGAGATTTCACATAGAAGGTGATGAAGGAAGAAAGAAACTCTAACAGGTGGAGGTAAGGATGGACGGAATTCCAGGTAAAGAGGATGGCTCTTGGGGCAGCTAGGTGGCGCAGTGGATAGAGCACCGGCCCTGAAGTCAGGAGGACCTGAGTTCAAATCAGACCAAACACTTGACACTTACTAGCTGTGTGACCCTGGGCAAGTCACTTAACCTCAATTGCCTTAAAAAAAAAAAAACAAAAGAAAAGAAGGGAGCTCTAGTCTGGGAAGTGACAGGGATGATGACTGGAGTTGAAGGTGGGAGATGAGGATCAGTCTTCCAGGGACTTAGTCATGTGACTCCTGTGAGCCTCACTTTTCTCCTCTGAAAAATAAGAGGGAATGGTTCAGAATAGCAGTCCATCAGGGAGCATTTAAGCACATACTACACGCCAGGTGCTGGGAATACAAATACAAAGAGTGAAACAATTGTTACATTCTAACTAGGGAGACAAGCATGCTTGCTAAGGTCCATTCTTCCCAAATTCCAGGGCACGCTGTCACCCCAGACTCAGAGCCCCCCGACAGAATCTGATAGACGCTACCTCCTCTAGCTATGGATTGAGAAGAAGCATACAGTCTGAGCTCTAGAGCTGGAAGAGACCTTACGGGCCATCAAAGTCCAACCCCCTCATTTTACAGAAGAAGAAACTGAGGCCCAGGAGGGACAAGGGACTTACCTAAGGTTACACAGGTAGCAAGCATCAGAAGCAAGATTTAAACTCTGGTCTTCTTGTAAATGTCTTTTTTTTTTTTTTGGTGAGGCAATGGGGTTAAGTGACTTGCCCAGGGTCACACAGCTAGTAAGTGTTATGTGTCTGAGGCCAGATTTGTACTCAGGTCCTCCTGACTCCAGGGCTGGTGCTCTATCCACTGTGCCACCTAGCTGCCCCTGAACTCTGGTCTTCTAACTCAGAGTCAGTCCTATTTTGCCCTCTGTACCATTGACTGGAGGCTGAGTTCCACCTGTTTCATCTTGACCAAGCCATGGTTTGGGGTGGAGGCCTGGTACCCACCATGATGGCCTTTATCTGAGCCCCATGTCTTTACTGGGCCCTTCAAGGATGTTTCTAGGCTGTTCAAGAACCTTTGCTCTATTTACAAAGCTGCGTAAGTCATTGATCCCTGCACCCTGTGTCATCTTGGGGCTCTTCACTTAGGAACTGGAAGAAGAATACTCAGCTGTAATAAAAACAAAGGCACCTTCCAAGAATGATGGAGAGACTTGGATTCTTATAATCTAGCCACTGCTCAGATTTTTACAATCTAGCCAATATCTCACAGATGCTCAGATTCCTTAAGACTCTAGCTCATATGGCAGATCTTTAATAAACCTTGTTTTTGGCTGAAAAAAAAAAAGAATAATGGAGAAATAACAGAGTGCATTCACATCCTTGATCCTATGTTATATCCTTACAGCTGCCCCATGACTTAGGAAGGGCACATGATATGATTTCCATTTTGCCAAGGAGGTAACCAATTCTGAGAGGAAGGGTGAGGTACCCAAGGTCACACAGCTAGTAGGCGACAGGGCTGAGGCCCCCCCCCTCCAACTGGGGAACTTGACCCCAGGGCTCTTTCCACTATACCACACTCCCTCATATCCAATTATGTGTTTTCCCAAGGTGAGAGGAGGGGGAAGAGGAAAGAAGGAAGGAAGGAAGGAGGTGAGAGAATCATGTTTAGCAACAAGTGGAGAAAGGAAAGAGGCTGAGTTCTCTCTCTCTCCTCTTTCTTTCTCTCTTCTTTTTCTCTTTCCTTGTTTCTTTCTCTCCTCGTTCTCTCTTTCTTTGTTTCTTTATCTCTCCTCTTTTTCTCTTTCTTTGTCTCCTCTTTCTCTTTGTTTCTTTCTCTCCTTTCTCTTTTTCTTTGTTTCTCTCTTTCCTCTCTCTTTCCTCTCTTTCTCCCCTCTTTCTCTCTCTCCTTCTCTCTCCTCTTTTTCTCTTTCTCTTTCTCTCCTCTTCCTTTCTCTCTCTTTGTTTCTCTCCCCTCTCTCATTTGTTTGTTTGTTTTTTGCCTCTGTCTGTCTGTCTGTCTGGATGAGTGATAGTAGACATACCCCTCTCTGGACTCATTTCCCTCAATTTTAAAAGTGTATGTAGTGGGGATGACCATGAACAGAGGGAATCTCTTCTGTGGGCCAGGCCGCCTTCTGTTCACCATATTGCCTACACTCCCACTGTTATCCACATCTCCTCCAACTTTGAACTCTGCCCCTTAAGGTCCCCCTCCCTCCTCTGATAAGAGAGCTTTCTCCTTACCTCACTGGCCTCTCCAATACTTGCCAGGCATCTCCTCCCTGTCGCCATGTTTATAACACTCTGTCTGTTTGACGTCATGTGTTGTCTTCATGTGTTGTCTTGTCTGTTAGAATGTAAGCTACTTGAGGGCAGGGCCTACTTTGCTTGTTTGTATCTCCAGCACTTAGCAAGATACCTAGCACATAGTAAGCACTTAATAAATGCATTATCTACCTACCTATCTACCTATCCATCTATTTTTCATTTTCCACTGGGGAATAGGAGAGGATGGAAGGGTGTGGTCCACATGCTACAGTGGAAAGAGCCTTGGAGTCAGAAGATCTGAGTTCAAATCTCTCTGATGCTTACAACCTGTATAAACTTGGGCAGGTCACTTCCTTTCCCTGGGCCTCAGTTTCCTTTTCTGTAACATAAAGGAATTGGAACAGATGGCCTATGAGGTACTTTCTAACCCTATATCTAAGATCTTATGATACCTCTCTGCAATGAGGGGGTGGATAGGATAGAGTAGGAGAATCTCCACTCTGGGTCTCAGTTTCCCCCTCTGTAAAAATGAGAGCATTATATAGGAGATGATCTTTCATCTCCTAGCTTGGGAATTCTCTGAATCTGTGGAGGCAGATGGGTTAAGTATCCGTGTCTCCCTTTTACATATGAGAAAACTGAGGCCCAGAAAAGCAAAGTGATTTCCTCCAAGGTCCTACTGCAAGTAAGTTCACAGTATTTCCAACTGACAGCGACCCAAGAGTTCACTCTCCTTATTTTACAGAGAGGGAAACTGAGTTGCAGAGAGCAGCAGTGACTTGACCAAGGTCATACAGAGAGTAAAGCGTAGATACAGGACTCTAACTCAAATCTTCTGATTCCAAATCAAGAACTTGCCAGAGCCTGGACTAGAACCCAGCTAGGTGGCACACTGGGTCTGGACTCAGGAAGACCCAAGTTCAAATACAGCCTCCAACACTAACTGGGCAAGTTACTTAACTGCTATCTGCCTCAGTTTCCCCAACTGTAAAATAGGGATTATCATAGATCCTACCTCCCAGGGTTGCTGCAAGGAACAAATGTGATAATATTTGCAAAGGGCTTAATGCAGTATCTGGAACATAGTAGGCTCTTAAGAAATGCCTGTTTCCTTCTTTCTTTCCTGAATCGGGTACTCTTTTTTATAGAGGCATATGACACAGAATGATGAAGCTACTACTGCTTCTGTTATTCTGTACAGAGGACTGTAAGATGCTCTCTTGGCTGGTTCCCAACCAGTCCTCCTTAGGACAATTCAGTTCAAATCAATTCTACACACACCCTATTCATCAGTCCCCAAAGTCTACTACTTTGAGCCTCTGACTCATCCTGGCTGTGTGACCCTGGGGCAAGTCACTTAAACTCAGTCCTCTGGACAGCTCTCTAAGAGGAATAGGCCTTACAGTGAGTTTCCTCACCTGGGAGTTCCTTACCTCTAGGGAAACACAGATCCAATCCCTCTTCCGGTCCTGTGTGCCAGGCTCTGTGGTAGGTGCTAGTGAAAGGAGGGCAAAAATGGGCAAGCTGACCCTGTTATCCCAGCTTGGGCCAGCCTGCCTGTGCTGAAGGCCTAGTTCCCCGGCCTGGCCCCTGGGCTCCGAGCTCAGGCCCAGCTAATCAGAGCAGGCCCAGAAGGCATTTCTTGAATAAATGTTGTAAAGCTCTCTGGGGAATCCCTCACTTCCTTGAACCTCAGCTGGGCATCCCCAAATAACCGAGTTCAGAATCCCGGAAGCGAGAGCTGACAAAGCAAAGTTTCTTGGATAAACATGGAGAAATTCAATAGCCTCAGATTGGCCAGGTGTGCACACACACACACACACACACACACACACACACACACACACACACAACAAGCACTCATGAGCACAGACACATATGCCTGAGAAGGCTGTGAAAGGGGAGGAGCAGACAGGGTTTGCACAAAGAACAATAGGGTGGAAATCAGCCTGGTTCTGCAGGGCCAGAGGGAAGGGAAGGAAGGAGCCTCAAGGAGACCAACCTTCAGGCCTCCATGTGCTCAGGTCACCTAGAGCACCAGCCTGAGGGCACCGGAGATGCTGTTGCCTCCATGTCTCTCTGGGCATCCTGGCCGCCAAACAGTCTCCCCATGAGAGCAATTGTTGAAACTTGCAGAAAAGCAGATGGAAGCAAAACTCTCCTGCCATCCCAGCTCCTAACTATAGAGCTGGAAGGGACCTCAGAGGTCATCTGGTCCCGCTCTTTCATTTTACAAAAGAGGAAACTGAGGCCCAGAGAGGGGATGGGTCTTGCTAGCAGTAAGTCACAGAGTAAGAATTTGAACCCAGGTCCTCTAATGCCCCCCTTTCACTTCACTATAATGCCTTCCTGCCTGCAAAGAGTCCAAGATAAGAGATTTGCATTCAAAACAAGAACTAAGAATGTTACATTTAAATAGTATTTTACAATTACAAAGTAGATCTGATTCTCATAAACAACCTTTGGAGGATTATCATTATCTTCATTTTAGAGAGAAGAGATTGAGAGTTTAAGTGACTTATCCGATGGCCACTCAGTCTCCAGTCAACTGAGGCTCTCTCAAGCTTGAACTCAGGTCTTCCACTCCCGGGTCTATTGTTCTTGCTGTTATAACCAGCGGTATGCTGGTAAATATTTAACAACAGGCTAGCTGGACAAAAAAAAATGCACTGACACACTTTTAGATTTCATCTGCATTATTGAACAATTTCACCATCACTTTCTCAAATCTAGACAATCAATGAAACAATAAATTAAGCCCTGATGTGCAGCGATTGAGCTATAGCTATGCAATAAAGTCTGTGCTAAAATATCAGCTGGGTGACGTGGGCAAGAAATACTTTCTGTCTGTCAGGAGGAAGGAGGGAGAGATCACTCTGAGGAGGGAAGGTTTCCCAGAGGAGGCGGAAATTGGATCTGTGCCTCAAAGGATAAGTTGGATTTAGATAGGCGGAGGAGTGGGGATGGCATCCAGGCGGGGAGATCGGGAGATCGCATGAACAAAGGTGTAGAGGGAGGAAACTATAAGATGTGTTGATAGAGGTGGGCTTGGTGCAGTGTTTAAACAGATAAGCAGCAGGAAATAAGATTAGAAACATCATAGGACTTCTAGCTGCAAGGTACCTTAGAGGTCATCTGATCCTCCCCCTGACTTTACAAATCAGGAGTACAAAATGAATAGAATGAACTTCTAGTCATAATAGAGGGAGTAATAGAACAGAACAGAACATGATATAACATGATATAGTATATGATGTGATATGATGTGATATGATATGATATATAGTATAATATATGCAGTGCAACACAATGCAATATAATATAATGTAATATAATATATTATAATGCAATATAATTCGATGTCGTATAATACAATATAATGTAATATATTATAATGCAATACAACATAATATTGTATAATATAATATAATCTATTATAATATTATATGATATTATATAATATAATGTAATATGTTATAATACAATATAATATAATGTCATATAATATATTACAATACAATATATAATGTGATATAATACAATGCAATATAACATGGCATGACATAACGTAATATAGCAAAACATTCTATGTCTTCCTGCTAGAATCGGGTACAAAGTAAGAAAGCCTGTTCTCACTTCTTTTATTTGACATCATATTAAAAAGTCTAGTCATTGCAATAAGCCACAAAAAATTAGAGGTATTAACATTAGAAAAGGACAGGTCAAAAGAGTCTAACTTTTAGATAATATAATTGTGTGTCTAGAAAATCAAATAGCCTCAAGCCCAAAAAACCTAATGAATACACATGCATTCTGCAAAGTTGATGGATACAAGATTAACTTAAAAAAATCATCTGCATTCTAATTTATTAGTAATAAAGGTATAGAAAACATAATAAAAACTCCTTTTACAATAACAAAAAAAAAACCCTGTAAAATATTTAGGAATTGACCTCTTAGGATTTTTAATCCTAAATATCTAATTCCTAAATTGAATTTCCAGAACCATGAGACCTGTTATAAGCACTACTTTAAAACTAAATAAAGGTGCAACTAAATCATTCAATGTTCATGGATGGCTCAGACTAATATAGTAAAAATTATCATACTCTTTAAATTAATTTGTATATTCACTACAATGATAATAAAAAAACCAAAGGATTTCTTTATAGAATTAGACAGAAATACTAATATTATTTATATGATAGGGGGGAACCATGTAATCAAGAAGGTCAGAGGGCACACAGAGGAGAAAAGTTGATGAAGGTGGTCTTCTACTCCCAGGCTTTAAAATATTTTAAACACATTAAGGATATTAAAGCATATTACAAAGCAGTTAGCTTGCAAACTTCTGGGTACTAGCTCATACATAGAAAAAGTGAACAATGGAATTAAATAGATATGCCAAAAGATCAGGAGATAAAAACTGGTAAAAGGATTTGTTATTTAACACATCAGTTGGGGATGATTGCTTTGCAATTTGGCAGGAAAGTAATTTAGACCCATATCTTTCACAAAATACCCCCAGTGAATTTTGGCTGTATGAGAAATGTAAATATTTTGCTTTTAAAAATTCACAATGGATAAAATGCTCAAAGGATGTGAGTAGGCAATTATAATTTTTAAAATTAATTTTCTCTTTTTGTATTCGGAACTTAATGAATACCCTAAACGCCTGAACATTCTCACATATAAAGTGGAAAGGGAAGAGATTTACATAGGAAACTTCGGATCTCTACTGTATACAGACAGCTTGCTTTTTAATAATCTAATAAATTCACCATGTTACTTACAAAACTACCCTGCTTGTAGATGTTTCCTTCTGACCTTTCTTTTGTTCTCTTCTGGGCATTTAAAAAGACATTTGAATTACCTTTTTCTTTTTCTTCTTATTTTTTTTGACAAGATTATTGACAGGGCAGCTAGGTGGCGCAGTGGATAGAGCACCGGCCCTGAAGTCAGGAGGACCTGAGTTCAAATGTGGCCTCAGACCAAACACTTGACACTTACTAGCTGTGTGACCCTGGGCAAGTCACTTAACCCAACTGCCTAAAAACAACAACAACAACAACAGGATTATTGACAGCTCTCCTCTCTCCCACCAATTCCTGCTCCTAAAGAAAAACCCCCACAATCCTTGAAACAAATATGCATAGTCAAACAAAACAAATCCACTCATTTCCCCTGTCCAGAAATGTGTGTCTCATTTAGCAAGTTGTATCTATCACCTCTCTGTTAGGAGGCGAGTAGCACACTTTATCATTACTTCTCTGGAACCATGGCTTTGGTCAGAATTCCTAAGTCTTTCAAATTTGTTTTTCTTTACAGTGTTGATGTTACTATATAAATTGTTCTCCTGGTTTTGGTGGAGCAGACAGCTTTCAAAGGAGGAAACACAAATTGACAATAATCACTTGAAAAACATACAACATCATGAATAATTAAAGAGATACAAATGGAAACATCTTTGAGGTACCTTCTCATGTCAGTCAAATTGGCAAAAATAATTAAAATCAACCAAACTCATTGCTGCGGATTTGTCCGCAGCACACTCATCCATTGCCGGTAGAATTGCAAATTAGCAGAATCTTTTTGGAGAACAGTCTGGCAGTACACAGTAAAAGTTGCAAAAATAATCTTAGCCTTTGACCCAATCATTCCATTGTTGGGAATATATCCTGAAAACAAACACACCAAAAAGGGCTATCCGTTGTGAGATTTTCTTTCATAGTAGAATTAAGCAATTGCAAAAACCTGGAAAACATCCTGTCCTAAACATTCAGCCAGAGAGAAATGGACAAGTAAATTTTGTTACATTAATGTAATGGAATATCATAATGCAATTAAGACAAATAAGTTTAAGGAATACAAAAAAAAACTGGAAAGACTTTTATGAAATAATGCAAAGTTGGAGAAGGGAGCAGAATCCAAAGACTAGAGTGCCCCAAAACTATGAACATCTAAGACAAATAAAATGGAGAAAAAGTCTTGATGAGGACTTGGAAATGACTGAAAATGATATATTAGTTATATGATATGTATGATATATTAGAGCACAGCACCTGGTCTGGGGTGACCCTGCCCTGCCCCTCCCCTCCCCCAGCTCAGATATAGTTTTGAGTCCCCAAGTTCAAGGTATTCTGTGGATTGGCTCATGAGATCTCACCAGTGCGTTTAATTTCAGCAGTCTTCCAGTAGACACAACTAGCTTGAAAACAAAGGTATCAACTGATAGGGTGTGGAAAGAGCAGTGGTTACAAGAGTATCCCCCCACCCCTTGCCCCATAAACTTGATACACACGCTCTTGATGACTCCACACTTTGGTCAGTTAAGAATAGCGGACACAGACATCTAGAGTACAGTCGTGGAAAATAACATACATTGGGAACACAGGTGACTCACACTTCTGATGTCATAGGGCCCCAGATTCTTTCTCTTCTAGCGGTATTCTCATGTTGCTCCTCTGGGGAATGCAAGATAAGGAGGCAGTGTGGGATAGTAGAGACAGCCGTGTATTTGCAGCAGGAAGACCTGGGTTTGAGCCCTGGCTCTGCTACTTCCTATTTGTAAAATAGAGACAATAAGCAATATCTACTTCATCTGACTTTTAAGGAAGAAAGTACTCTGTAAGCCTTAAAATACATTTAATCTCTCAGCTATCCATGGCTGAGTTTAATTCCAGCTAGGCCACCTCTCAGCTGGTTGACTTTGGGAAAGTCACTAAGTTCTTTGGGCCTCAGTTTCCTCAGGTATAAAATGGGAAGGCGTTGGCTGAGATGATATCTAAGGTCTTTCCAAGCTCAACATCCCATGGTTTGTTGTTTAATGGACCTATAAAATTAATTTGCTTATTCGTTCGTTTATTCGTTCATCACTGAAGTGTCTCCACATATATCCTCAGGATATAACTAAGAGTAGAAGAGTCAGTGATGTGAGGTCAAAGTGCAACAGGAAGGTAAGGTTCTCATTCTGTGGAGAAAATGAGGAGCTGATGAGGAAGAAGACAGTGTTAAGTAGGACAAATGAGGCTTGATTTGGAGTCAGAAGACTTGTGTTCAAATCCTGTTTGGAAGCTACTACCTGTGTGAGTGAGGACAAATCTGTCTTGGCCTCAGTTTCCTCTTCTGTAAAAGAAGGGAGTTGGACTAGATGGTCTCTGAGGTCTGCCTTTATAGCTCTAGATCTAGGATTCTACATGTGATCTTGGTCAAGTCACTTCCCCTCCAGGGGCCTCTATAAAATGAGGGGATTGAAGTCCTTTACACCTGGAGATCTAGGAGTCGATAAGCCTATGACTTGAATCATGTCACATACTGAATGTTTCAAGGAGCTAGGTATGAAACTGGAGATGTGTTTTGATTGCAAGTAACCTTAAACTCCACATGATGTAATTGGGATAATTCTTGAAATAATTCAGTTCTCTGTTTCAATAATTCTGGGCTTGGAGTAAGAAAACTTCTGTTCAAGTCCAAGCTTTGCGGCTGTGTAAACTTGGCCAAGTCACTGAACCTCTCTGAGCCTCAAGTTCTTTACCATAAAACGGCATTAGAGTAAATGCGCTCCCCAATTCCTTCCAGGGTTGTTTCGAGGTTGGCAGATTGTGTTTATATTAATAGCAATAACTATCCTATGATTCTATTTAAAAGGCTGTCGTGTGGAAGAGGGATTATTAGATTTCTTTTCTGCTCCAGGGGACAGAATTAGGCCCTACTAGGGATCCTAAATCTCAGAAGCCATCTTGTCCAATCCCCTCAGAGAAGAAAACTGAACCCCAGAGAGGGGAAGTGACATGTCAAAGGTCTTACATTGGAGCGTACATCAGAGCTGGAAGGAAACTTAGAGGTCGGCTAGTCCAACCCCTCTTTTTACAGAGTGGGAAACTGAGGCTCAAGGTGGGAAAGGGGCAGGCCCCAGAACATACAAGTAGTAAGTGGGGGAGGTGGGATTGGAACCCAGCCCCTCTGACTCCAAATCCAGCACTCAATGTACTGGCCCAAACTTCCTCTCTAGTCCCTCATGGGGTGGCCCATATGGGAAATGGCTGTTGTAGCTGACCTTCCCTGAAGCAGCAGGCTTGGCTTCTGCTCGGCAAAAGGGAAACCCCACTGAGCCTGAGGAAGCTGAGTGGGGCCTCATCTTCCTCAGAGGGGAACTTGTCCCTGAGTCAGCCACCGAGGCAGAGGGCTCAGTAGGGAAAGGAGAAGCGAAAGGGCTGGGAAGCCCTCAGACTGGAGGGGGTGGGATTCTTTCAGTCACCCTTCCAGGCTGGGGGACTAAGGGGCGGGGCTGAAGAGACAAGATGAGAAGCTGGGCCTGCCTGTGCAGAGAAGAGCAGGCTGGGCACAGAGGGCGAGGGGTGGGAAGCATTGTAAACGGTCCACATGAAAAGGAGATGTGATACAACACATTATCAGTTCCTGTTTTCTGGAACACAGCTGAAGCAGCTGACCTAGAGTCCAGCAGAGGAGGGGAAGGAAAGGGAGGGAGGAAGAGGGTCCTAGATTCCCTGAGCTGGAGTCCTAGAGAGGAGGGGATTGGTAGGTTGATTAAATGATCTCTAATCATAGGATGGGCAGCTAGGTGGTGCTGTAGTGGATAGAGCACCCAGCCTTCAGTCAGGAAGACTCCTCTTCATAAGTTCAAATCTGGCTTCAGACACTTACTGGTTGTATGGCCCTGGGCAAGTCATTTAACCCCATTTGCCTCAGTTTCCTCATGTGTAAAATGAGCTGGAGGAGGAAATGGCAAACTACTCCAGTATCTTTGCCAAGAAAACTCCAAATAAGGTCACAGAGAATCAGATATCATAGGATTACAGATCTGGAAAGAACATTAAAAACCATTTACTCTTGATTCTCTGATTTTACAGATGAGGAAACTGAGGCCCATAGAAGGGAAATGGTTTGCCTAACATCAACCAGGCAGTCCATGGCAGACAGGATGTGATCTCAGGTCCTCTAACTTCAAATCCACTTCTGTCTTCTGTCCACTGCATCGGTGCTGCCTTGCTCAGGTCCTTTCCAGCTCTATATGAGATATTTTTAAAGCGCTTTACAAACCTTCAAGCACGAGATCAATGATATTACTATTCTGCTCCTATGATTGATTGAGGAAGACTCAAGCATGCTTTTGCCTGTCATCCCCCCCCCAACACACACACACACACACACACACACACACACTGGGATTGATCAGGCAACTTGGGAACAAGAGGGTTGGTTTGTCCTAAACAGCCAGTGAAAGAGCTTGAGGCTCAGGCAGGCGGCCAGTGAACTAGCTTCAGGGCTCGGGCGTCTTGCCTTGCAGCAGAGAAGGTGTCTTGGAAGAGCTTTAATGAGGAACCTTCGTGCCTAGGGCAAGCATTGCAAACCAGGTCCTAAAGACTGCAAAAGCCCCGCCCCCCTCAGCTGAGGTGTGTGCTGTGGGTTGGGAGGGCCAGGCTAATGCTGGGAAGTTCTCTGTAGCTGGGAGGAGCCGGGCAGGGTAGGATAATAATAGCTAGGATTTATATAGCGCTTTTCAGCTTGTAAATCTGTATGTATAGTATCTTCTTTGGTCTTCACAACAGCCCAGGGAGGAATGGTATATTACTATCCCCATTTCACAGATGAGGAAATGGAGGCAGATAGAAGTTAAGTGAGGCGCCCAGGGTCACCCAGCTAGGAAACATCTGGGGTTAATTAGAACTCAAGTCTTCCCGGCTCCGAGTCTAATCCTTTATCTACTCATCTGCCAACTGGCAAATTCCTATTTAAATGAATTATTCTTTCTAACTGGTGCTAAATTCTGTTGTTTGATGATACTAACGAGCTGCCAGAGTCTTCTAAATTTGGTGCCCTGGCACAAAGCATTGTTTGCACAACCCTTGTTGTAGCTTTGGGTCTTGCCTTCTCTGTGAGCATTTGCGCCCCCTCCCTATCTCCAGGAAAAAAATGTTTGGGGACTCACTCCAATATCTCGAAAGGGTCCGTGGCTTGGCCCCAATTCTACAACTTCTAGCCCTTACAAGTTGCCTGGGGCACTGAGGTTGTGACTTGCTCAGATTCACGTGGCCAGTATGTGTGTGTGTGTGGCAAGGGGAAGGTTTGAACCCAGACTTGTCCTTACTCTGAGGCTGGCACTCTAATCCACCATACCAGGGTTCCCCTCTGCTGCTGGTGTTCTGAGGATGACAGTGCTACTGCCCTGGCCTTAAGCAGCCAGAGCATCGGGATTCAGAAGCAGAAGCAAAGGAGGTGCAGACATCATAGCATTTAGAGCTAGAAGGATGTTATTAACTTATGTAAATAAACAACATGGAACAAATAGTTTTGATTGGATGGAAACATTAGAGCCTCCTTAGTCCAACCCCCATCAAATCGGCAATGCAATATTATAGATAAATTGCTGGAGCTGAAATCAGAAAGACCTAGGTTCCAATCCTGCTTATTAGCTATGTGACCCTGGGCAAGTCATTTAATCTCTCAGCCTCAGTTAACTGCTCAGTGAGATGGAGATAATTACCTCATGGGGTTGTAGCAAGGATCAAATGAGATAACGTGTGTGTGTGTGTGTGTGTGTGACTGTGGTGTAAATAGCATTCGAGGCTTGGGCTGCCACAGTCCACTTCCACTGGTGCATAGCCAGTTAAGCATGCAGGATGGCAGGATGTCACTTTATTAATTACCCAACAAAGAGTACAGATAACATTTGACTTGCCCACCGCTATACTCAAGTCACCAGACACGTAGTCTTTCTGGTACACAGTCATTCTGGAGTCTCTCCCCCCCTTGTGGCTTTAAACAGCTGGGCAAATAACAGACCAGCCATGGCTGGGTTTTGAATTTTAGCCTAGGGGTTGATATAAAATATTGCTCCGGCTTATTAAAATAGGAAGACTATGGGCTCCAGCCCCCACCCCACATCTGGATTTTTCCCCACCTCAAGCCTCCACCCTCTATATTTATACTATACAGGCACTCAACTTTCTGTAGCCATATGTTTTTTTTTTTAATACGGTGAATCAATTAATCAACAAGCATTTATTAAGTGCCTACTGTGTCCAGGGACTGTACTAGATACTGGAGATACAAAGACATAACAGAGATGGGAAGGCAATATATTCACAAATAAATGGATATTTTATATATATATATATATATATATATATATATATATATTATAGAGAGAGAGAGAGAGAGAGAGAGAGAGAGAGAGAGAGAGAGAGAGAGAGAGAGAGAGAGAGAGAGAGAGAGAGGTGTGCTGGTAAATGTTTAACAACTGGTTCTCTCGGGGAGGAAAGTTACCCACTCGCCACACTTTTAAGTTTAATCTGTATTATTAACACTTTGTCTGTCACTTTCTTACGTCTAGACAATTAACAAAACAATAAACCAAGCCCTGATTTGTAGCTACTGATTTTCTGAGGTGTAAATTTCCACACTAAAAATTTAACACTTGGCTCTTGGGAGCCGGTTTGAGCTGGCTCCAGCACACCACTGGATATGTAATATATTGCAGTGATGGAGGAGGGGTAGAAATACTAGTAGATGGGAGAATCGAGAAAGGTCTCTTAAAGGAGGTGTCACTTGAGCTGAGTTTTAAAGAGCTCAGTTTTAAGAGGAGGGGCTGAAGAGGGAAAGTATTTCAGGCATGGGGGACAGTTGTGCAAAAGGACAGAGATAAGGGGATGGAGTGTTGTGTATAGCTGAAATATATAGTGAGTGAAGAGGAGTAATCCATCAGTCTGGAATAATAGAGTCACACTGAAGGGCTCTCAATGCTAATTAGAGAAGTTTGAATTTCGTTCCAAATGCAGTGGGGAATTAATGAAATTTCTTGAGCAAAGGGAATGGCACAGCCTGGCCCATGCTTCAGGAATAGCACTTTGGCAGTTGCGTGGAGGATGGATTACTGGGAGGGGAGTTGCAATAGCAATGGTTCAGGTGAGAGGTGATGAGGATCTGGGCTAAGGTGATTGTGGAGTGAGCAGATAGAAGGCAACAGTCCTGGGATGTGAAGGTAAGAGTCGGCCACTGATTAGTATGGGAGGTATGGAGTGATGAGAGGAAGGAGGTGTTGAGGATGACTTTGAGGAACCCCAGTGGTGATTGGGAAGATGGTGGTGCCTTCAAAAGAAACAGTCACGTTTGGAAAGGGGACAGTGAGGGCTTGCAGAGGTCATGAGCTCGGTTTGGACGTGTTGAACTTCAGCTGGAAATGTCCAAAAGGCAGTTAGTGATGGGAAGCTAGGACTTAGATTTGTAGATTTAGGAGTCATCTACATAAAGATAATCAATGAATGCATGGGAGGTTTTGTGTGTGTGTGTGTGTGTGTGTGTGTGTGTGAGAGAGAGAGAGAGAGACAGAGAGACAGAGAGACAGAGACAGACAGACAGACACAGAAAAAGAATGAGAGACAGACAGACAGACAGAAAAGAATGAGAGAGAGAGAGAGAGAGAGAGAGAGAGAGAGAGAGAGAGAGAGAGAGAGAGAGAGAGAGAGAGAGAGAGAGAGCAGACCCTTGGGGAACACCCACAGTTAGAAGGCCGGACATGATTGATTGATGAACGTGGAAAGAAGACCAAGAAGGCTTAGTGTAAAAAGCTTTTTCCTGGACTTTGGTTGAGTAGGGGAGGAAGAGATATAAGGACAATAGCTGGAGGGGGTGGGAGGGTCAAGCGAACGTGCAAGAGAAAAGGTTTCAGTTTCCCTGCTTGGGCACTTCACCCAGAACACATCCCAGGTCAGGGAGAAAGGCTTTAGTGCTGGTGATCCCCAGGGCGCAGCAGCTCAAGGGTCCCCTTCTAGTACACTGAAGGCAAGGGAGAAGACTGGGGGCGTGCTGGGAGGAGGCTTGTCCTCCTAGACTTCTCAAGTCTCCGGTTAAGGAAGTTTCCAAAGCTGCCTGTCTCCGTCTGGCTATCTGGGCCGATCGCTGCTTTCTGCTCCACGGTCCTTCTGACCCACACGTAGTGGTCTTGGTCACAGCCGCTCCCCGTTCACGGGACAAAAGGCAGACAGGGCTGTCAAGGACAACAGAAAAGGAAACGGGGACCCTGAGCGTATGCACCCAAATTCCATCACTCCCAGCATCTCACTCATCTGTTTCCCCAAAGGCAGAGGTGAACGGCCATTGTCAAAATAATCAGAACCCGGGCAAAATGCTTGGCGAACAGTAGAGCGCTATCAGCGTGAGCGATGAGTATTATTTCATGGCCAAGGAAACGAGCCCAGAGAGAGGAAGTGTCTAGCCCGAGGACGCACAGCAAATTGGTAGTGGTTTCCCGATGGTCCGCTACTTCCCGAGGGGAGGGGCTCGGGGCTCGGAAGGTTAGGGACAGGAATGAGGTGGGGTGAGAGAGGGGGCAGGAACGGGAGACCTCGTGGCACTGGGGCTAGAGGAGTGCCCGGGGTCCGGGTCACACGAAAGCCCCCCGCCCCCGCAGCCAGCCCTGGGGGGCGGGGAAGGGCGGGGGCCCCGCTGGCTACGCCCCGGGTCGAGGAAGGAGGCGGTGCTCTGGGGTCCCGAGCAGCCGGGGCGGTGCAGCCCGTCCCGTCCGGCCGTCGGGGCCCTCCCCCTGCCATCCAGCTCCACGTCCTGCTAGCGCCAGGTCCCGGCTCGGGCTCGGGCTCTGGAGCAGAGCGGGGCGGGGCGGGGCGGAGCAGCGCCCGGAGAGCCGCTGCAGCACATGGACCAGCCTCGGGGCCGGGGGCCGGGGGCCGGGGCCGGGCCCGGGACGCCCCTGCGCCTCCCCAAGCCCAGTACGTGGACCCTGTGGCGCGCCAAGGGGCCGCCGAGGAACCCGGCGCGCTGGAAACCAGGTGAGTGGCGCCCGCCCCTCTCGCCCGGCGGGCGGGCGGGCGGGCGAGCAGGCTAGGCAGGGAGGGCGGTTGGCCTCTGGCCGCTCGGGGCTGGGCTCACCCGCTCGCCCGCCCGCGGGCGGCTATCCCCCGCTCCTCTCCGCTCGGCTCCGCGCTGCTCCGCTCTGCGCTCTGCGCTCCGCGCTGCCCCGCCGGCTGGCGCTGCCCGCCTCCCGCCCCCTGCGCCCCCCACCTCATCTCCTTCGGCCGCCGCCCCACCTTTCCCCTCTCCTTTGCATCACCTCCTTTACTCCTATCCGCCTTTGTCCCTCTCCCCCAGCCCCAGCTCCCCATCTCCCTGTCCTCGGCCGCCCCTCTCACCTCTCCCGCTACACTCCGCCCCCTTTCTCTCGGGCTTCTTCTGGCTTTCTGTACCCCCTTTCTTTATCTCCCTCTCCCCTCTCTATTTCTGTTTCCCTATTCCTCTCTATCCTCTCTCCCTGTCCATTCTGTCTGCCTCTGTCCCCATCTCTCTCCCTCTTCTGTCTCCCTCTCCTTGTCCCCTTTCTCTGTCTGTCCCTCCCTGCCTCTCACTCCGTCCTGTCTCTGTCTGCGCCTCTGTCCTTTACCACCCCAACACCTCCCAACCCCTGGCTCCCTGTGTCTTTCCTCACCCAAATGTCTTTATATCAGGGCATCTCTAAGAGTCCCCCCAACCTTTCAAATTCCTGTGCCCTCTCCTCTTCAGGAATACTGCCCCTCACCCCCCATCCCAGCCCCTCTCAGATAGAGGAAATAGGAAATAGGGTTGGGATTCTTGCCCTATGACTCCGAGACAGAGGAGCCTAGGGGGAGGGGAAATTGGGGGTGGGGTGGGGGGAAGAGGAAATCTAGAGGCATCTGGGCATGCTCATTCTGCGTCCCGGGAGGGTTATTGCCTCTAAACTCCTAAAGCACTTAATGTCTCTACCATTCATTTGGCACTTACCAACAAAATAGCTTATCTTTTTATGTGTGTATTTCTGGTTTCCCTGCTAACGGACTGCAAGCTCCTTGAGGGTAGGATTAGGCCTGATACTTCTCGGTATCTCTTCCCCATCCCCCCGGCCCCACCAAGTTCCTTGCATTTTTGGTAGCCAATCAGTAAATGTTAGTGATTGGGATTGATTGATGTATTCCAGCTAGCTCTGAAAGTAGCTGCTAGCATAATCCAAAAGCGAATGTGGTGACAGCAGTCCATTTCGGGGTCCGACCTGGGGTCCAATTTTACCTCCAACATTGTGCAGCCGTGGACAAGTAAGTCCTTTTCCCCCTCTGTGCCTCAGTTTCCTCCTTTGTAAAATGAGGGAGTTGGACTAAATGGCCTCCCAGGTCCCTTCTAGCTCTACATCTGAGATCGTATGTGTGATCTAGGGCAAGTCACTGTACCTCCCTGAAACTCAGTTTCCTTCTTTGTCCAACGAGGGTGATGACTCGAAGGCCCTTCCGACTGGAATATTCTATATTCTAAGGTCATTTCTAGCTTGCCATTCTGTGATTCCATGGATTTCAGGGACATGGATTCCCATATGGATCTTGCCTTGGCCTCCTTGGAGTCTTCTAGAAAGGAAGTCCAAGTCTCAGACTTCCGGACTGTATGGTGCTTAGCATGGAGAAAATTGCCTCGTGCCTTACTATCTCTCCTATGCCCCTGCTTGTCCAATCCTGGCCAAGCCTGGTGTGGAGGGATGACCCACCCCCTCCTCCGGTGACTGAATGTGCCCAGCCTGGCCTGATTTAGAAGTTGCCAAATCCCAGGAGACCTGGAATGGCAGGACAGGGGTTAGGCCCCTGGCAACTGGATGTTAAGAGCAAAGCTACATCCTCTTCTGCCCTCTTGGGCCTCTGTGTACTCCATATGCAGACTGAGTACAGAGGCATGAGGTCAGGCCAAGACTGTGGGAGGATGGAAGGGTGCTCACTCACTTACTTCCCCCCCAACCCTCACCCCTTCCCCATAGTGCCCCTGGCCTGGGTGCTATGTACCTGTGAAGGCATGAAAATGCCACCTAGGAGAAACATTCACTCCAAAAGGACAGACAGGTATGGAGTTCCCGCAAGGTAAAGTACTAGGAGAACTGTAGAGCTGGGCATGACTTCCAAGGCCCTCCAGTGCCAGCCTGCTTCATTTTGCAGAGGAGGAAACTGAGGCCTGGATAGGAAAAGTGCCTTGCTCAGGGCCATATGTAGATCATAGATCTACAACTTGGAGGGAACACCTCCTTTTCCCCCAAGTAGTTTTACAGGTGAGGAAACTGAGGCACAAAGCTAGGTAGGGACCTGCCCAAGGTCATGTAGTTTAATGCTCTTCACTCTACCATAGGGCATCCTGTCATGGAAAAGTCAATTGAAATAATATACATTCCATGCTATTTTGAGAGGGGCTGGATTTGTGATTTCTTAGGTGAAAGGAACTCGTGGAGAAGATAATGCATATCACTACCTACTTTTCGTTTTAGATAGCTGCCTGACGCAGTGGGAGGTTAAATTAAACCTCGAGTCATACAGCCTAGATGTGGCCAAGGTGTGACTTGAACCTGAGTCCTAAGCCAGCTCTCTGCCCACTCTGCTGCTTTATAAACTGCTATTCTGACCTCAAAGCTGTTATTATTATTGTTGGAAATTGATCTCTAATTAGGTATCTTTGCCCCAAGGCTGCTCCGCCTCCTGCCTTCCCTATCTATGTTAATGGCCCCACTGCCTTCCTAGTCCAGGAGATTGGAATCCAGAGTCACCTTTGGCTCCTCCTTTCCCCTCCTCTTTCCCCTCCCCCTTCCCTTTCCCTTTCCCCTTCCCCTCCCCTTCCCCCTCTCCCCCAGGTATCCTGGATTCTAGCCCCTCCTCTCTGTTCCGGCTACTACCACCCTATTACTCGGGCTCCTCACCTCCCCCTTGGGGGATTGTAATAGTCTCCTAATAGCCCTTAATTCACCACTCCCAGACTCTCTCCCCTCCCCACTCCATCTTGGACAGGTTACCTGGATTAACCTGCCCCAAAGTCGCCCTATTATGTGGGTAAACCATTAAAACAGTTTACCTGCAGGATAAAATGGAAATTCCTTAGTTTGGCGTTCAAGGCCTGTCCACCATCTGGCCCCAATTTTCCTTTGCATCCTTATCTCTTCCCCCATGAAATTACCGCCCTCCAACCACACTAGACTGATCCACATATATGCTGCTCGTCTCCCCTCCCCCACTTTTCGGTTTTTGCTCATACCACTTCCTATATCTGAAGTGATCTCCACCCTCCCACCCTACTCATCTTTCAAAACCCAGCTCAAAATTCCTTCTCTTCCCCAAATCCATCTGAGATCCTTCCCCCTTGGAAACAAATTCACATAAGACTTGGTGTCTCTTTTTATGCATTTATCATGATGCAGTTATATTCCAGTCATTTGTGTGCTGGGTCCTAAGGCCTAGGTATGAGGCCCTACTTTGCCATTTGCTGTTTGACCTTGGTCAAGTTCCGTTTCTGTGAGGGGTGAGAGGGGTGGAAGGATACTATCAAAGGTCTCTGAGCTCTGATGTTTTTGGATTTAGTGCTCTAAAGTCCTTCCCAGCTCTGACATTCTGTGTTCTGAGGTCCTTTCCAGCTTTGACATTCCCTGTTCTAAGGCCCCTGCCAGCTCTGAATTCTCTGTTCTAAGGGCTCTTCTGGATCTCAGCATTCTGTGCTCTAAGGTCCCTCCCAGCACTGACATTCTATTATTGACACCTCTTCCTCCTGAAAGTGGTCCTTTCCGACTCTCCTTCCTATCTGTGAGTGCTGGTCCTCAGTCAGTCAGTAGAAGAGCATCAATGGGTTCCCTGAATGGCTTGTGTGAGTCACGTGTATTCCCATCTGTCTGTGGCATAATTGCCCAGATAGCCCCCTCTCGGGGGACAGCCCTGGCACAGTGGCCCCTCACCAACCACATGAATAAGCCTGAGCACTGGGCAGAGTTCTCCAGATTTCCCTCTCCTCAGAGAGGAGAGATTCTGTGCAGGTTTCATCAAGGGCTAAGCAGCGGGTTCCAGCTTCTCATCTGCTCCTTCTCACTCAGCTGCCCCGCTCCTTCTCCTTTCATGGTAGGGTGGCATCCTCTGTACCTTTCTTGTTTCATTCCAATTGTTAGAGCTGGGAGGGACTTTATTACATGGAATGTGAACGTTAATCAGTCATTCAACCAGTCTGTCCACGAGCATTTATTAAGCACCTACTATTTGCCAGTGTGCAGAGAGCTGGGAGGGACCTTGAAGCATAGAATATCCGATCCAGAAGTGAACCTAAGACATAGAATGTCAGCTGGAAGGAACCTTAGAACATAGATGTGAGAGCTGAGAACTTGGAACATAGAAAGTCAAAGCCCTAGAAGTCCCCCTTCATGCACATTTATGTCAAGCTTTGTGGTTTCTGAAGGGTTTCATGAATATTGTCTCTCTTGGTCTTTAATCCTGTGAAGCAGGGAGTATTATCATTTCCCAATATCAAATATTATCCTTCTCTTTTACATGCATGAATATGAATGCACATGAGTGGGTGGTCTCATGAGTGGGGTGTACTAACACGCACATGCACACACACACACACACATGCACAATGGTAGAACATGTAGAATTTACTAAGCATCCTCCTTAGCAATGGATAGAACACTGGATTTGACTTCAAATATCTTTCACCTCTGTGACCTTGAGTAAGTCCCTTCCTCTTCCAGGGCCTCAGTTTCCTCCTTTGAAAAATGAGGAGGTTGGGCTTGATGGTGGCAAAGGTCTCTAGATCTCTGACTTTCTGGTCTTTTTTTTTTGTTTGTTTTTGTGGGGTTTTTTTGTTGTTGTCGGGCAATGGGAGTTAAGCGACTTGCCCAGGGTCACACAGCTAGTAAGCATCAAGTGTCTGAGGCTGGATTTGAACTCAGGTCCTTCTGACTCCAGGGCTGGTGCTCTATCCACTGTGACTTTCTGATCTCAGTGACCCTGATGTGGCTATCCTCCTGCCTTTTGCA